ATATAAAAGAGGCACTCTATAAAATATTACATTCAGTTCAAACCCATGATTCAGCAATAATAGAGGCCCATCAGTGTTTTCAATAGATCTGTTTTTCTTAGTTGTTCTCACCTATTAAACACCTTGCCCTCTCTCTCAACTCTCTTCTTTGTATTTTCCCCTCGCAGTTCATGAAGCGGTTCACAGCTATGGATCGTCATTGCCATTTTACCTTCCTGTTCGCTCATTTATCTCTGAGAAAAACAAGATCATGGATGGCTGCTTCTGCATCTTCTGTAGGTTCTGTTTTCCATAGGTGTTGACATGACTAAGGAACTCTAGGAGAGACTGTCTGTTAACGATCTGCAAGCCTTGTAAAACTGGAACATGGGGTAAAATAAAAGTGGGCCGAATACCGATCCCTGCGGAATACCAGTGAGTACTTGGTGCCTTCACCTTGACCTTACATTTCCAGTGTGACAAATGATTTAGAGGTAATATTTGCTATAATTTTTGATTTCTTATTTAACTGGACTTATTGGTTAAGACATTTGTATACAAAAATAAATCGTATAATAATATACACTACAATTCAAAAGTTTGGGTCGGTAAAATGTTTTAATATAAAAATTAAAAAAAAGTATTTTATGCTCATCGTATTTACATTTATTTGATCAAAAATACAGTAATATTGTGAAATATTATTCTATAAATATTATTATTAACATTTTAAATAACTCCTTTCTATTTCAATATATTTTAAAATATAATTTATTCCTGTGATGACAAAGCTGAATTTTCACATTGAATTGTCACATGATCCTTCAGAAATCATTATAATATGCTGATTTGCTGGTCAAGAAACAATTCTTATTATAATCAATGTTGAAAACAGTTGTGCGGTCATGCCACCCATCACATGGGAAATGCAAGGTCAGGTCAAGGACATTCAATTCTGGGTTAATATTTCAAACATAACCTGTATATAATGTAAAATCTGTTTGTCTTATGAACATTTATCATAGTTGAGGTTGCAGTACTAAACTTGTTAATTCTTCCATTTGAAGCTTGGAAATCAGATCCAAACACGCTTGACTGACGTCTTACCCATATTCCCACCATCGGGCACCTGTCTGATTCTGGCACTGTTTTCCCCTCCACATTTCATGGTTAAATTGTACTGATCCCTGTGAGAGCTGCGCAGTAATGGCCCATGAAGAGAAACTGTCTGAAGTAACCAGCCAACAACTGCGGCCAGTTCACCCTGTAGGCCATTTATACAGACTTCATCAAAACATCGTTTTCCAATGAGACAAGAACAACTTGAGCTGTGAGTACTGTGTGAACGCAAAGACAATATTTTGATTTGACTAAGTGAAACGATTAATATGAAAGTTTGGAAATGGCCAGTAAGTTTACATTACCTGTTATTAAAGAATGACGCATAAGAAGAATTAGATGTCTATTTTTGTGGTACTTGATCTCCTTTGCAAATTGTGAATGAAAAATAGATCCACCTTACACAGTTTAATTGCAAAGTCAGTGTTTCCCATGCCATTTTGTCTTACAGTATATTTACCATTTTCATAATTCATGATGTAAATATAGCTGAAACATGAACACCTTGATTTTTTTTTTTTTTTGAGAAATTTTGCACATTCATTTGAAATACAATAAAAATATTTATATTGGGACAGCCAAGAATAATGTTAAAATAGTCAATAGAAAGTGAATTAGAAAGTCAGACTAAATATAACCTACAGAAAACCTACAGAGAAAAATATTAAAGTTTAAACTGTACTCTTTATTCAAAATAATCACAAAGAGTGACAGATAATCGCTCATATAAACGAAACAAATGTGTGCATTCCCAGCCTGGATGTTGTTGTTGTGTTGTGTGTTATGTGTTATGATCTCTGCCTGGCTGTTATTTGATTTCATTTTATTGCTTTTAGAAATATTCATATATTTTAGCCTGGGTTTTATTTTATTTTACTTTACAAGTGCGTGTATGTACTCCGCCTGGATTTGATTTGGATTCATTTTATTGCACACTCTTTGTTGTGTGGCTATTTAACCACTAGATGGCAGCAGTGGTGTATTATAATGCTGTATAATATTGCATACAATGCTGTGAGGTGAGTGTTCCACAAGATGGCAACAACAACACACAAGCTCCAGACTTTGTGGTAGAACAAATGATTATGACAACCCTATAAATGAAAACTGGTGAAAAGTGATCATACTAATGTGTTGTCACACTGAGTAAATGTATCACTTCTAGTACTGCACAGGTCACAGAGTATGATTATCCTTTGTGTCTTCATTTCCCGCCTCCTAATGAGATAAATAATCAGGTGGAGCATGACGTAAACACAAAATGCCTTTTGTAAGCACTTCACTCACCCAATTAAATCTAATAAATGTAAAATAGACAATAGAGGCAGCTTGAATTAGTGTTTATAGCCTCTCATGCCACCTTTCCAAACACATTCAGTCAGGTTGAACTATTTACTTTCCTTGATTTGTTTTAGGCCTAGTTCTAAAATAAGCCAAAAACATGGAGCAATTGCTTATTGACTATTAAAAGGGGCTCTTACTTTGACATTTCCTAGCCTCTGGTTATTTTGGATGGAGATGTAGCTGATTTGAACTCCCCCTTTCCATCTCAACCCATTCACGAGGGTTACTTGGCACAGCGAAGCTCATTCAGGACTGCCTTGGCTTGCTTTCTGAGTGGCACAATCCCCAAATATCAATCCATGTTCAGATCTGGTCCCAATTATCTCCTCTCAAAAGCCTGACACCCTTTCCATGTCTCTCTTTTGAGAAGTTTTGCGCCCCAGTTCCCCAGGCTGTAATTATTGTTCCTAATTATATCTCACTGGCTGCCTCCCTCATTATTTAGAACTGCCCACTATGAAGGAAAAAACACAAGTGAAAGTGAATGCGGCCCCTGCCCGGGCCCCATTCAAACAGCATCAAGCTAATGCTTAATGGCAGATCCTGAATGAGTCACTGTGCTGGAATAAAAGTAATTAATGAGGTAATTTTATTAACTGTGCTTGCTTGCCCGGCCTCGTCGGTATGGAAGCACGGGAGGGGAAAACTTCCAGGCAAACGACAGTGGAAATTAGGGTTTCACTCCGCACTAATTAATGCCTTTAAGAGATTAAATGCAAGCGCCAAATTAACTGCCCCAAAAACCTTCATTGAGGGGAAGAATTACATTGTTGCCCTCCCATGTAATTACAGGACAGTGCAAATTCAATTTTAATGAGGCGAAAGCCACTCCTTCAGCTCATTTTTCCCCCTCTTCAATCCACAGAAAGAAAGAGAGTGCTAGTGAAAGCTTGCTCTTGTTGAGGCCTAAGTTAAAGGAAGCACCGGCAGGACAAAGGCCGATTGTGTGCAAGCCCAACGCTTTAGAAGCCGTAAACAGGTATAGAGGCTGAATAGCCCTCCTTCTGAGACTCCTGGGAGGCCTGGCTTCCCATCTCCACAACACTGGGCTCTTAGAGAGGTAGAGAAGGAGAAACAAGGTGAGGAGGGTACGTTCGGCGCTGAAAGGGCCCCAGTGAAGCGGGCGCTCGCTGTTGGGCCTCAGCCTCCCTCCCGCTCTCGTTGAGTTATCTTTATACAGGTTTTGTCTCTTCTAATTGAAGCTGATGGGTGACTAATTGGTAGCTTTTTTACAAAGCGCACTACTTAAGCCACTAGGCAGGCCGAGGGAGACAGCATGAGCGGAGTTAATGAGAGGTTTTATACAAATAAAGGTCTTAAACTAGGCCCTCCATGTTTGCAAGGGGGGCCACAGAGGAAAGTAGAGGATATCCTTTTGTCTTAAATTTCCCTTCTTCTTCTTTTTCCGTGCAGGTATCTGAAAAGGGGGGACATTCAAAGGTGGAGGAGATGGCGAGCACTTGTGAGGATAAAGGAATCCTCCGGTGAATGCTCTTTAGTTCGGACAGATAATGAGAGAACACTCTACATACACACACAGGACCGTGTTGAGCCACTTTAAGGTAATGTTTGAGTGCTCAAAACACCACACACATGCACACACAAAGGGCACTACTGCTTTATGTAGACACACACTCTCGAACACACTTGCATAAAATAGGTGCCACAAGATGTCGAAGAAGTATGTACTAACACTTCGTTTAATTGGCACATATTTGAAAATACTTTTTCTAATTGGTTATTTTATTTATATTTATTTTATGTTTAATTTTATCATCTATATTTATTTTCTAATCTAAAATAATAAATATTACATTTAATATTTCTTACACTTCACTTAACACTATAACACTTAATGGCATATAATTTAATGTACTGTTTTACTTATTTGCAGTTGAAATAGAAATTTTGTAATATAGATAGCTTTTTTATTATATATATAATAATTAAAAATGAAATAATAAAAAATAAAATAATTTTAATTTTATAAAATTATATATAT